TCAGTCCTAGGTCTAGCACAGATTTGAGTCTAGGGATTTTGTGGCCCTGAATTGCTAGGTCGAGTTCTAGGTTGGGACAGCCTATGCAGAGCCAGCCACACTTTTCGACATTAAACTCAAGTCTCCAGGTGTCACACCATATATCCATTTTTGTTAGTTCTTCATGTATGGAGTTCATAGTTGTACCGATATCTGTGTTTGTGCAGGTATATGTCACCTTTAAGTCATCTGCATACAGTATTGGCTTGCCTATACTAAAGCACTCACATATACTGTTTATGTATATAATGAAAAGAAGGGGTCCCAATACACTCCCCTGGATGGCACCACTGCTAATCGGCCTAGGCCTGGAGGTCATCGAGCCAATTTTTGTTGTCTGATTTCTGTCACTGAGAAATGATTTTATCCAGTTGTGGAGGGGGTTGCGTATCCCTAGTGAGCATAGCCTGCTGACTAACAGACTATGTGGGACTCTGTCGAAGGCTTTCCTGATATCGAAATAGAGGATAATTACTAGTTCTCTCCTATCTCTTCTATAGGTGACTTCGTTGAAAAAGTCTATATGGCAAGTGACGCAAGATCTTTTCTTAAGGAACCCGTGTTGTGACTGGTTGATGAGTTTGTGTTTTAGAAAGTAGTCTGACATTTGGTCTTTGATTACTTTCTCCATGATCCTTGATATGACAGGTGTTATATTGATGGGCCTATAATTACATGCACTAGTTTTGGCCCCTCCTTTATGCTTAGGTAGTATATACGTGTTTTTCCAAGTTTCAGGGTAGGTCCCAGTCACTAGTGAGAGGGTGAATATTCTAAGTAATAGTACTATCATATCCGAGCCACCGTTTTTATAAATGATAGATGGTATATCATCTATCCCACAACTACCGTTAGCTTTTAGTGTCTTTACCGCTGATGCTATATTTTGCATATTAAAGTTGATTTCACCTAACTCGTAGTTATTTTTGCAGGTTATATCGAGGATTGGAGACGGATGCGCTTTGGTGTTATTGGAGAACCATTGGTTTAGGAGTTCACAAATAATCTGGGGATCATCATAAATTATACCTTCATGCTCCAAGTGGCCAACATTATTTTCTTTACCCTTGTTTAGTCGTTTTTGCAGGATCTTGCAGAGTTCCTGAGTTTTAGAGGTGCCCCCTAGGGCTTTATTTTCCTCGAGTTGTGCCTTCATTTTATGTCTCTGCTCAAGATTTTTAAATGTTTCATGTATCTGGTGTAATGCACTAAATTCTTTATATAAATAAAATTTCCTTTTCAATTTCCTTAGTTTTAATCGCGTTTTGCGGTCTATGAAAAGAGTTGGTGTCCTTAAGGCAGACTTTAGGGGTGCGATTGTATCTCTTACCGAACTGACCGTCTTGTAGAAGGTATCAAGTGTTACTTCTAAGTTATCATTGCATCTACCTATTTCATTACACTTTAATGATTCACCTTTGCACCTTTGCTTTTCTAAAACAGCTTGCTATCCCTTGTAAACGTTGTACTTACCTCAATATTGGTTGGCTATCGTATGCCTACAACTACGGGTTGAAAACGAAATGAAGTCGATTTTCCTGCGCAACCTAGAGGACTACTGTTTAATTCAGTAATGATGGGACGGGTCAGACAATGAGTGTATTTATATATATATCAAATATTTAGCTGTTGAAACATTATTAACTTGTAGACAATCTACTATCTGACATTGTATCATACTTGATCGTGCCTGTAAAAATGGCATGCATTTTCATGTAAATTTATGTTTATATGAAAATATAAATTATTATTATTATAACCATGTTACTTAACCGTAATTCATGTAATCTAAATGTGTGACTTAAATAATACTTATCTATGCCTATACAACTTGTGTGTCCTATATTTGTAGGAATAAATATGTACCTTATTATATTATCATTACTGACTATCCTTACTAATCGTATGTGTAATTTATCGAATTGATGATGCCTGTAAACTGGCGTCTCTCATGTACAAAAATGAGAATATACTATCATTATTATCTAGCTTAACGTCAGGAAAGTGAAACGAGGAATTCGACTCTTCTTCAACCGTGAAAAGTAAAGATGGGTTAGAACCATTAAATATTCCAAGTAGTTCGGCAGTTGGAGAGTTTTGCTGACGGACAATGAAAGTATCATCTATATATATTTTACACATAAGCGAACTCCCGATGGTTTCCTTTAGTTGGCCGTTCTCTATGCTTACCATGAAGACATCTGCTAAGAGCGTTACTAACGGAGACCCCATGGCGACTCCACTCCTTTGATTGTAGATGACCTCGTTAAATCTAAATTGCACATTCAGTTTGCATCTCAATAATAGTTGTTTAAGATATTCAGTTGGTGAGCCGATGTTCATGCTATTTAAATCAATATACTCTCGTTAGTGTTTAGGGCCGTTGAGATCTTATCACTAAGCACAGTGCTTTTCTCCTTCCTATGATTATTGAGCCTTTTATTTTTCGCCACTTTACCCTCCGCAGTCGGAAGCTGTGCGTTCACAATACACGCAACGCTTCGTCGTTGTAGTATCACCCAGTGGTCTTACAATGTTGATACTGTTTGCCCTGTTAGATTTTCAGGGATTTTTGTGTGCTGTTGCAGACTTCTAGGCACACTTTACCTCAGTTGCATCTTTCGAAGCTTGGGGATGTGGTTCTGTCCCGATCTTTTGACTCATGCCAGAATCCTCACTTCTGACATCAGCACTAGATGCTAGCTTTTTCCCCTCATCTGAGGCTTTTGTTAATTTCTTGGACATGAGAAGTCCTACGGCCTTTTGGATGAGGACGTCCAACGGGTTAGTACAAAATTTGCACACCCGCGGAGATGATGGCGTGCTGCATCTCGTATAGGCTGATGGTGATAAGCCAGTGCAAACTTTATGGAACCATAGGTTCCAGTTATCACACTGCATCCCATCATCCACTGGAAAGTGTTTGTCCAGCTATATGTGAGACTCATGTCAGTATAAGTTGATTAAGTTACACAGACAAATATATATACCTAAATACAGAGAATTAGAAACCACACAAAAAGTCACAAAAGTGTGCAAAAATAAACACTGCTTCAACTGATAAACCAGTTAAAGTAAACCAGAAAGCTTCTGATGCGATTTACACAGCAAAAGCAGAAGTTACTTCACAACGTAAAAATGCCACTCTCCTTTTCGAAGCGCGCGCGTGTGCTTGACATAGCCTATTCTGTAATGGTACCACACGTTTTTACTGCTATAAATTGTTTCCTGTTATTTTCTGAAATATTATCTTAGGAAATTTCAATGAACTATGCGGAAAAAGTAATTTACTTGCCTTGGTCAAACTCTTTCCTGTAGCCAAGCCTAATTATTTGAGTTGTGATAATCATGAATGGATCAGAAATTAAAACTTTATTGTTAACAATTATATTGCAGTCCCGTTATGAGTGGTAAACTCTTCACCATGTGTGAAGGGCGGAGTCTCTTAATGAGCTTGCATTATTTTATCACTACTGATTATGCCATATTACTGACAATCTGGCAAAAATGAGATGGTTGTTCTTTGGGATTGTGATGAACAAATGTGAATAGAATGCTTGAGAAATGTAACGGCGATTAAGAATATTCTGATACAAATATGTTCAATTATCGAAGCTGAATTCGCACTTAGATACCTAGCAAAGATAAACGCCTTCTACAGGAATTGAATTTTTGACCCATATCCTTTGATGGGAAGCCTTCGTCAGCATTTGGGGTAGGTTTTATCAATAGGAACCATTAAAAACAATAAGGCTAACTCTAAAATCAATTTATCACAGTGCCACCTGTCACATTTAAACACTATAACAACCATGTGGTGGTTACAACCTGGTGCTGGCATTGTAATGTTGAATCATTTCCCAAAATCACTAGCTCACAGCATTCAGCATTAGGTGCTAATGACTGCTATTTAAGTCGACTGGTTATGTTAAAGGTATGCAGATAAGCATCCATGCCATTTCGCAGACTGTTGTATCTGAATATTCTCGTCATTAATATTACATTGTTAGTGATGGTACGCAGTTGGAAAGAACCAAAGAAAAGTTATTTCATCCTGCTCATTATGTTATTCTTGCTTTGTTCGGGTTAACCAAAGGAAATAATTGTTAGAAGTTATGTTCGGTTATTCATCCATACACCCTAGCTCATTTAGTATTCTCCATCGCCTGAATTTCGGGAGTTGCATTTCATACTTTGGAAGTTTGGGTTGTTCGGCCTTTGCTCTGACTCCAGTCTAACTAGAACAACTGCTTTCAGAATTGTGCGATAAACGTTCACAATTGCATGTAGGGCATCTTGCGTACGCGCCACCAACTGGTCATCTTGTGAAGTATGTCAGCAGTCATAACCACGTCGCACTTTCTTGACTCAGGTGTCTAACAGAAAAAGCTACATGCATGTTAGTGAAACTTGACGTTGCTCACAAGCAGTACTGTATGGTATAAATGACACAGAAGACTTTCCTAAAGACGGAGTAGCTGTTTAAGCTCTAAAATATGTATGTCTAGGGTTTCATGACATTAGTGACCTGGTAATTAGCTGACAAGGTCTCCTTTGAATCGTCCAAATAGTCAACGAATAAGTTAAATAAGTTACACGATATAACCTTCATTTCTCCAAACGAACTGTGAATTTAGTTTTCCCAGCGGTAATAGTGTGAAACCTCAGAAAGTCTGAAAAAAGTGATCCTTAGTTTAGGACCTCACCACGTATTTAAATCCGATCAATAAGATGCTAGGAACCACAGAGTATCCAGTAAATATCGTATTTCCTTGAGTTTTACTCCCGAAAGAAAATTTATCTATGCTGTTTGTGCGCGTTTAGACCTAGATTTATCTAAGAGTTTCACATCACTATTGTTGAATTTTCAAAACTAGGTTTGTTTATTCGCAGCAAATTACTGGTGGTTGGCATACCTCACACTTGAAAATCTTCGTTACTTCACAATGTCTGCTAGTCAGCGGATGAAAGTGCAGAACGGAAGGGCTCATGGGAACATAGTGAATCGTGGGAATGTTCCAAAGTCACTGGTAAATTCATTTTGCATTCTAATTGTGCGTAGAAATCCAATGAGTCACAATCCAATATGAATGCATGTATTTTAGGCCTTATTATATTCGTTGTGTGTGGTTCAGGTAATTGCATTTTGAATGTTTAACTCTTAAATTAAGCTTTCTTTGAGATAATTCAACACATAAGAATGAGTTATTGAAGAAAGAAAATCTGATTTCACAGGACATTCTTCAAATCAAATTTTTCGTGATGTGATTATTATTCGTCTTTTCACTATTTGCCTTCTGATTCTTTTCCTAAACAAGCATACTATCTAACATTGTGTTTTATTTGCCGAGTTAAATTAATTGGGTTATTTTGGACATGTTGCCCCCACACGAGTCACTCCATGTAGAGACAAAAGTGGTTCATTTTAATGTTTTTGGTTCTTTTTCATATAATGTTAGTTGTGACTTGTCAAACTTCCATTTCAAAATTTAAGATTTTTATTCGATCCATAATAGTTCATGAATCTAAGTAATGTACCTAGCAGTTTGTAGGAACTAGCGCCTCTGGGGAAGTATTCAAAGGATTGTGTTTCTTTGCTCACAATTGCATAAGTTCCGAATTCTACACCGTAAATCAGTAATCATCACCCCAATAGTGACCTTAACCCAATCGTGTCGTTACTTGGAACCTTGGTGAATGTTAACTTTGAGACCCAGTACATAACAACGGGGCGCGACAGCACCAATGACCTTGAAGTGCTTACTCACGAGTTCGTGAAATCGGGTGAATAACTCACTAATAAAGAATGCTTATTGAAGCACTCTGATATTGAATGGGATGTGTGGTTAGTTTCCGCTAGGTCTGGGCTAAGGACAGGTCAGGGTTAGGTTAACCTGACAAGGAAGTTATTAAGGTTAGTCCGAGTTAGTTTAAGGATTGCTTCGTGTTAGTGTTTGGGTGATTGCTAGAAGACCTAGTGAATATATATGTAGAATGTGGTATTGGTACCCTGTTAAGAATTCGCTGCATAACTGAAAGGCATTTTGTGTCACACAGAGGAAGGTATCCTGGGTAAAAGTTCTACGCCTTCTCAATGTTTTCTCAAGCATACCTACTTTTTTTTAACCAGGAAACGCCCTCTTCCCATGTGGTTGGTGCGTCCAAGGTCATTTTTCCGATGGTACTTACTGGTGCTTGAAGTTTAATTTCGCTAGAATTCTAATTCATTTGATGCTGATGCGCGTTTTGGAGCACTGGTCTTTGATGAGTTGGTTCTGGATCTGTCTCAAAATGCATTTCGATTGTTTTAAACACTTACACTGTTTACAAGTGCAAATGCAGTAGGAACAAAGAACTGGTAGAGTTCCTTTGTTATATTTCAGATGTTAACGAGGGCTCCTTTTCAAGATAACAGTTTTCGCGTCTTGATTTTCCAGGACATCATAGCTGCAGTTCCCTACCGTCTCTCCTGATTATATTGATGTGACTAGGCAGTACTGTCTCTTGTAAAAATAGATTCCGGCTTTTGAGACGAACATTGTAAGCCCTAGTAATTGTTAGTATAGTGGTCTATTAGTTTAAGCACTCGACAAGTCTCAGGTTTGAATCTCTTCTGCTTACTTCAATCCAGACAATTGGCTAATATCACCACTCCTCACAACAAGTGCGACTCAGCCTTATATGTAGAATTTTTGATCGAAGCGATTTTTAATTGACAGATTTCCGTCTCGGATGTTAAAATATATTGCTTTTTTTGAAATCATTTGGAAAAAATCTGACGTAAAAGACTGCTTGACGAAATAAAATATTCACAAAGAATGCCGTAAAACTTCGCCCTGATCTTGAGTAAAGGATAACGTAATCAATGAGGAAGGATTTCAGTTAAGTGCGAATAAGGAGGATGTACACGATCATTTGAAAGTATCTTTGGAGTTTTGGAACATCTTACCACCAGTAATTTAGTTATAATTTCTCCTGCATTGATATTTGTACATACTGATATTGTTTAACGCAACACATTTCTGTGTATGACTTTAAGTTACTGTTTGCCATCAAGTTTTGTATAATCAGGCCAACGGGAGCAGTTTTTAGCGCCTCACTTTCGTTATGAGTATCGATAGTAATTGTTCCCTCACTAAGAACTACCATGCAGAGTCATGAATAACAAATAACCACATCAACTATCTTGTGGAAGGCATTCGGTATCAGTACGGAGATCCAGCCGGTCACCAATATTCGATTTTTTAGGCTAATAAAATGGCAAATATACTTAACCAATTCACCTTTGAATGTAAAATAATCTAAGGCTTTCTCATCTAATACAAGTAATATGTAACAGATGGATCAGACATCACCAGCCAGCATTTTTGCCAATTATTTGGCCTCACCAAAAGAGCATACACTAAAAGGACTGGTTATCAGAGTTAGCTAGCCTGTAGAATATGGTGTTTTTAAACCCCTTTAGTCTTTGGTTGACAGACGATTAGTCGAAGTGTGAAAAAGAGAAACTCTAGAGAAGTACTTTGATCAAATCTCTTGTCGAAAAATCCCCAAAAAGCCTTGGAGAAAGAAACAGAAAGCAATTCAGTGGAGGAGATTTCCCCCTACTTTCTTCGTGTAAGAGTCATATGTGTGTGTGTGTAGTGTTTGTCTTATTCTTTTAATATAAAAGTTCTATTATAAAGCCACCTCACAATGCTGATCTTGGTGGAATCCAAGTTATGGGGTAGAGAGGGAAGTGACAAAATCCCTTTTCCATTTAATTGGAAATTTTAGACACCGTCCTATTAAGGTGAATTTTCCCCTTGTGCAGTATCAACTGAATTACTGTTAAGTAAAAAAAATGTCCAATGCAAGACCTAAGACGAACTAATCCACATGGTAACTGGCTGCTGTTCTAACTCTTCTTGCAGTCACCAAAATTTCGAAATGAATGATTTCAATCTGATTGACAAAGATGACTTCTCCAGTATGAGTAGCGTCATTTCGTGCTACCTAATTCACCATTTCCACTGTAGATGTGATGTTGATAGTCTTCAGACTAAGTCGTCTGAGTAGGCCTTTTTAGTTGTTGTTCTTATTAAGACCAGTATACTCATATCCACAGGCTAGAGTATGGATACTTACCCCTCCCCTTGCAGGAAGAAATAGAGGTGGATTGGCTGGCCATACTCTGAGAAAACAAACCATCACGTGACACTACACTCCAGGCCATCGTTCGAGTGGAACCCGAATGTGAAGTGGCGAGTTGGTCGTCAGTGTGAGGGTGACTGACACATTAAAGAGGTGATGTGAAGAGGAGATGAAAGCATGTGGGTAGGCGTTGGAGCAAGGTGAAAAGATTGGTGGAGAACCAGACGCAATGGAGACGTCCGTCTGAAGCCCTATGTTCCCCTAGGAACTAAAGGAAACAACAGTACTAATAATTACATTAAATAAGAGACAAGTAGGGAAGTATAGTTAAGAAAACAGGAGAAAGAGATATGGGTCTTACAGGTTGGATTGTAATTTACTGAAGTGTTGTTAAATTATTCGATGTCTTTCTTAACATTAAGGTTAGATTTCATGTCGGTTAATGATGATATAGCATGTATCACTCTTTTGAAGGCTGTTCAATTAATCCCTTGATTCAGTCAAGTGGATTACAATTCATTTGAATACCAACTGCCCTGGATACACTTTGATGAATAATAATAGTACTAATGTCATTTATGGTCTAAAAACTATTCGAAGATGTAGTCTAGTTAGTTGTCAATGAAAATATTGAAACTTATCCTTTATCACTTAGATAAGTAGCTCTAAGTATACCTGTAAGTTCATGGAGAAAGACTTTGATATTGAATGCTTCATTCATGGGGGAAAAGAAACCCAACCAGATATAAAAATAAGAATAAGCGTTTCCATTAGGAGTCTGTTTTTTGACGAATTCATTCACTTAGTTGTCCAGTAGCACTTTATATTTACAATCTTTGTGTGTGTGTACTTACCTAGCAAAATATTTTTTAAAAATTGGTCTGGTTTATTGTTTGCATTATGAGAATTTTTCGAAACGGTGATGAATAATTAAAATTGTAACAATAGGGGTCGGGAAGATTAGCAAGTCTACACTAAGGTTACGTAATGTGAAAACATTTAGAAAAAAATTGGATGTCAATGAAATACTGTGGAGATTAGTATCATAAAGCAAATTATGTAATGGGTAAAGAGTGTAAATAAAAGGTTAGTTAGGAAAATGATGAGAATAAATGCACAAAATAGTATTAAGGACAAATTACTGATAACAGATGATCTTAGAATTATACCCAAGGTAGAAGGAGCGAATGGAGAACACGTAAGGAGTTGATTCGCGAAAAGCAGGCTAAGTTTCGTTCACGGTGTGGATGCATTGGTCATATGTTCATCCTTCGTCAGTTGTTGGGGCACCGCCACACCTATTGCAGGCCAACGATCGTTGTGTCTCTCGATATTGGGGCTGCCTTTAATTCGTTGGATAGAACTGTTCTCTGGAACTGTCTGTTAGAGACGCGTTTACCTGAGAAGTTTGTCAACATCCTTAAAGCCCTATACATAAATACCTCAGGTAGAGTGAGGGCATACAAGCAGCTTTCATCACTGTTCCCAACCAATAATTGGGGTAGACAGGGTTGCCCAATCTCTCCATTTTTCTCTAACTTTTCTGTCGACGACATTCCTCTAGAGTCATCTCTGAAGGACTTGCGTAGTAGCAGTGCAAAGTCTGCTTCCTGGAGAAGGACTTCTTGACCTCGAGGATGCAGACGATATCGTGTTACTGTACGATAGCACGCAGGCTTCCCAAATCAAACTTAATCAGCTGGCGATCAGTGTCTGTGAGTATGGTATGTGCTTTGTGCCATCTAAGTGCAAGGTTCGCGCAAGTTTATGCTTAAGTCTAAACGGACACAAAAAAGTTTTGGTAGCGAAGCAGTTATGTCCCCAACTAGATCAAGACTGAATCCCTATTTAGAGAAGAATATCTGAGGTCAACAGCAAGACTCCCCCTAAGAAAACATGGCACAACACACTGTTAGCTGTAGACACGGCTGGAAAAGCTGTTAATAACCTGAAACTTAAAGTTAATAAGAGCCATTGGATTTCTACCATACCATCCAAACTGATTGACGCAAGAAGACTGATTCCGGCGAGCTCCGAATATGATGAGGAGCGAAAGCTACTCAAACACAAACTAACAAGAAGTCTTCGTAACGATGGTAAGCGACAAAAGCGAAAGAGATGGAAAAGGCATCGGC